CGAGTACCGGGACTACCAAGACGTGTTCGAGGAACGGGGGGCAGACCAGCTACCGCCGCATCGGTCTTTTGACTGCGGCATAGACCTCCAGCCCGGAGCGCCCCTGCCGGTGAGTCGCTTATACTCTCTAACAGAGCCAGAGCGCGAAGCTTTGCAGGACTTCCTGCACAAGAACCTGGAGCGTGGTTTCATTAGGCCTTCTACCTCGCCCACCGCTGCGCCAGTGCTCTTCGTTAAGAAGAAATGTGGGGAGCTTCGCCTTTGCCATGATTACCGGGCCCTGAACAAAATTACCATCCCAGACCGGTACCCCTTGCCCCTTATTTCGCAGTTGCTGGAGCGGGTGCAAGGGGCGCAGGTGTTCACCAATCTAGACCTGCGGGGGGCCTACAATTTAATTCGGATCCGAGCCGGGGATGAGTGGAAGACAGCATTCGGGACCTGGTACGGGCAGTTCGAATACCTGGTTATGCCCTTCGGATTGTGCAACGCGCCCGCTGTGTTCCAACGGTACATCAACCACGTGTTCCAGGACTTGCTAGACAAGTACGTGGTGGTGTACTTGGATGACATTCTGGTTTTCTCCCGTGACCCGGCTCTCCACGAGGGTCATGTCCGGACCGTGCTGCAGCGCTTGCGGGAGCACCACCTGTATGCGAAGCTCAGCAAGTGCGAGTTCCATCAGCGGTCAGTGGACTTGCTTGGTCACCGACTCTCTCCAGATGGGGTGCAGATGGATCCTGGGAAGGTGGCAGCGGTTCGGGAATGGGCGGCACCTCGGAACCGCAAGGACCTACAGCGATTCCTGGGGTTCGCCAACTATTACCGAACCTTCATTGCAGATTATGCTCATCACACCACCCCGTTGACCCGGCTACTGCGCCCCAAGACACCGTTTTCCTGGGACAAGGAGGCAGAGGAGGCGTTTCAGGGCTTGAAAGGCGTTTCAGGGGTTGAAATGATAGCAGACTCCAAAAGATTAGAAGATGTAAGAAAGCGGGCAGGCAGTGTATGTTTGATCAAAATATTGATAGGAGAATCCCAGCCTTGTGATGTGTGCTGATGTTAGACAGACTGTGTGAGAGAGGTATTTGTGATTTTATTTTATTTATTAAATTTCTATACCACCTTTTATCAAAGTATCACAGGGTGGTTTACAATATAAAAACTCAAAAATATATAACATAGCAACAAACAAAAACAATAACCCCTCCCATATGCACAGTTTAGATGGTCATAGATTGTTTAATTAGCCAAAGGCCTGGCAGAAGATTAATGTTTTTGCCTGGTGCCTAAAGATACATAACGAAGGCAACAGGTTAGCCTCTTTGGGGAAAACATTCTTACAAGCTGAGAACCACCACAGAAAAGGCCAGTTCTCATGTTGCCACCCTCTGGACATCTTGTGGAGGAGGCACACAAAGAAGGGCCTCCAATGATGATTTCAGTGTCCAGGTCAGTTCATAAGAAGAAAATGTAAGGTTCAGCCTCACATTCCATTTCCATCATGGTAAGGAACAATTTATGTGCATTACCCAGATAACTAAATTATGGGGCAATTAATGAATATAATAAAAAATGCAAGGATATAAGAAGATTTTTCAAGTTTGATTCCACACACAAAAAGATCAGTAGTAGTAGTAGTAATAATAATAATAATAATAATGATTTATACCCCTCCCATCTGGCTGGGTTTCCCCAGCCACTCTGGGCAGCTTCCAACAAAATATTAAAATACAGTAATGCATCAAACATTAAAAGCTTCCCTAAACAGGGCTGCCTTCAGATGTCTTCTGAATATCAGGTAGTTGTTTATCGCTTTGACATCTGGTGGGAGGGCGTTCCACAGGACGGGTGCCACTACCGAGAAGGCCCTCTGCCTGGTTCCCTGTAACTTGGCTTCTGGCAGTGAGGGAACCACGAGAAGGCCCTCGGTGCTGGACCTCAGTGTCCGGGCAGAATGATGGGGGTGGAGATGCTCCTTCAGTTATACTGGACTGAGACCGTTTAGGGCTTTAAAGGTCAGCACCAACACTTTGAATTGTGCTTGGAAACGTACTGGAAGCCAATGTAGATCTTTCAAGACCAGTGTTATGTGGTCTTGGCGGCCACTCCCAGTCACCAGTCTAACTGCCGCATTCTGAATTAGTTGTAGTTTCAGGGTCACCTTCAAAGGTAGCCCTACATAGAGCACATTGCAGTAATCCAAGCAAGAGATAACTAAAGCATGCACCACTGGTGAGACAGTCCGCAGGCAGATAGGGTCTCAGCCTGCGTACCAGATGGAGCTGGTAAACAGCTGCCCTGGACACAGAATTGACCTGTGCCTCTATGGACAGCTGTGAGTCCAAAATGACTCCCAGGCTGTGCACCTGGTCTTTCAGGGGCACAGTTACCCCATTCAGGACCAGGGAGTCCTCCACACCTGCCCGCCTCCTGTCCCCCCAAAATAGTACTTCTGTCTTGTCAGGATTCAACCTCAATTTGTTAGCCGCCATCCATCCTCCAACCGCCTCCAGGCACTCACACAGGACCTTCACCGCTTTCACTTGTTCTGATCTGAAAGAGAGGTAGAGCTGGGTATCATCTGTATATTGATGAATACCCAACCCAACCCCCCTGATGATCTCTCCCAGCGGCTGCATATAGATGTTGAAAAGCATGGGGGAGAGGACAGAACCCTGAGGCACCTCACAAGTGTCTGAACACCCCACAGGGGTCTGAACACTCATCCCCCACCACCACTTTCTGAACACAGCCCAGGAGGAAGGAGCGGAACCACTGTATGACAGTGCCCCCAGCTCCCAGCCTCTCTAGAAGGTCCAGAAGGATGTTATGGTCGATGGTATCAAACACTGCTGCGAGATTCAGTAGAACTAGGAAACAGCTCTTACCTGTGAATGCCTGTGGGGAATTATTATTTTGAAAAATCCCTGTTCCAAAGCTTATGGAAAGCTCTCATTTGAGGAGAAGGCTTCTTGCCTACCGGTTTAATGATATTTCCTTTCTATGATGTAGGGATGCTTTCAAGGAAGCAACCCACTGTGTACATTCTACACATGGCAAAGTTTTAGGAAATTAGTGCCATGAGTCTGCCTGCACATTTGGATTAACTCTTAGGCTTACCGAGATATACTAAGAAAATTAATTATGATTTTTATTTGTTGTGTGTCTGTACCAAGATTCAGGTATATGCACAACCCTGTTCATAAGAAAGAATGTTACGAACAAAGTGATATACATGCATCATTTGATATCATATGATTTATGCATCGTGGCCAGGGTCAAAAGGACTTGGGCATGCCAAGAGGGGTTGTTGTTGTTGTTGTTGTTGTTGTTGTTGTTTTTAAATGCTTTTCTTTTTTGAATGTCAGACTTCCATGTTATATAATAAACACAAAGCAATTTTCTTTGTGGCCACAAAGTTTGCCATTTGATAAACAGAATCCCAGAGGATCCTCTGAGACATGTAATTTGGATAGTCTTTTAGGGCTCTGGAATTTATATATGAATCAATAGTCTCAAAAATGGAAATGCATTCACAGTGGGTATAGTATTTCTCCTAATGAAATCAATAAGAAACTTCCAAGTTTAATGGAGCAGGTTTGAAGCTTATGTAGCTTGAATACTATCTTGCATTAAATAAGGTAAGTACCATGCCTGCCACAATTAATCAGCTGAATTGTTTAAAACATCATTGCTCCACTAAAAGATATTCCTGATTAACTGGGAAGCAGATATATAGCTATATAGAGATAGAGATAGAGACCTTAGAGACCAACTAGTAGTCGAACTAGTTGGTCTCTAAGGTGCTTCTGGTTTGTTTTGACTACGGCAGACCAACACAGCTACCTACCTGTAACTAGATGATAGAGATAGAGACAGAGACAGAGAGAGACAGAGACAGAGACAGAGACAGAGACAGAGACAGAGATGGTTCGAGCCAGACGAGGTTATATATGCTTTAGCCCATTGAAACCAATGGAACTTGAGTTACAGTTGTTAAGTGGGGGGGATGTGAAGTGGTGGATTATCTGCAGTTTCCAAAGTTCTACCAGCTTGCAGCAGTCAAGGTAGAAGGCAGTGGGATGGACTTACCTTATATTTGTTCATATATGTATCTTTTTAAAAAAAATAAAAAATCCCCCTATTGGTTGCAGTAAAACAAAATTATTTACTTCGGTTCTTGGGTGCATGGGGAGCCAAATCTTGAGGCTCTCCAGAGAATGAAGGGACTTTGGGTACAGGCTGCAATCTGTCCCAGCTTCTCACTGCATTAAAAGGTCTGTTCCAAGGCCTAATGCCAACTGCCAGGGATAGAAGTACCTCCAGTGCTAGATCTATGGCTATGGAGATTTTTGTGGGTGTAGCCTCCCCACCTCTCCATGAGTGGAGAGGAACCTCTGCCATATCCTAACCCTCTCTAGCCAGTGGATCTGGGCATTAGGACTGCTTGCTTTCTCTCTCTCTCTCTCTCTCTCTCTCTCTCTCTCTCCCCTACAGGGCTAAATTGTGACTAAGTTATTTTGCATCAAATCCATTATTTTTTATTATAAGTACTCATAAAAGATGTAGATGAAACAGGAGTTTTCTTTTTACTTGAAGGAAGCAATGCAGTCTGATGATGTTAACTGGTTGCCTCTCATACTCACACACAAGTCTTATTCATTGATCAGTTGGATTTATTAGTGAATAGTGAATGGCACAACTGCACCCACTGCAAACAATATCTCAGCTTTATTTTCCATTCCTCTGCTGGTACAATTATTTTCTATTCCAAATTGTTAAGCTATATATTTGTTCTGGCAGTGCTGTTTACAAAGGTTTGACATCAGATCGCTTGGGTAGATACAGAGAATTCAAATAATTAGAAGCTTTTCAGAAAGCCAAGGTTAATTTGATAATGGAGAGATCCAATGAATGTTAAAGAAGCCATAGCAGTCAATTGAATTATATCATGAGCAATGTTTTTCTCTTTTTCTTTCTCCTCTTCTGGGCAGATTTATTTAAACAATGCCTTTGCTCTGGATTCATCATGGATACATCCTGAGGAGCTACGAATCTACCAGGGACACGATAAACCTCTTGTTATGACAAATCAAGTAGCTGTGGCTTTATCTAGGCCAGCTACTGCCCCTAGGCCTCTTCCTGCAGTGGTGTTAACACCCCAGCCTATTCCAGGTTAGTTAAAAATAAATAACTATGTTCTTGAGCTCTATGTTTTCCTTCCTGTTGATCTGTGCAATTTGCAGCAATGTTCCACTTTGAATTCAAAGCTGTCTCTTTTGAGGAGGCTGTATTCATTTGGGTTGAAGCAGGATGCAGATATATGCAGACTCACTTGAATGCCATCCTAGAGATTATTCAGCAATTGAGATAAATCAGGAGGGACATGAAGGGTGACTACATAGTGGCTATCGTGTTATGCAGTTTAGCCCATTCATTTGCTCTGCTGATAAACGCCCTGGAAACCAAACCAGAAGCTGATTTGACATCAAGTTATGTCTTTTCCAAACTCACTGAGGAGCATCATAGGAGAAATGAATGTCTTGATGGTAAATGTAGCACAGACCCTTGTCAAGGTCAATCTCTTAAGGCTACCAGAAAACACAAAGAGCATAGAATATGTTTTCACTGTGGGAAAATGGGACATCTAAGGAAATATTGCCACAAGTGGAAGTCTGAGCAGCGCAAGCAAACTCAAAAGAGACTCAATCCCTAAGCAAAGGTTGCAAGTGATGGTTCTACAGAAATCTGGGACACAAGCCTCAAAGCTATCCACAACAGAATGCCTCATCACTGGTATGTTGTTTCTGGCACAAGCAGTCACATGTCAAATGCCAAGTCCTTCATTGCATCACTCAATCCAAATGACCAGATTTACATTGCTGATGGGAACAGCATCACTGCTGAAGGGAAGGGCCAAGGCTTTCTCAAGTGTGTCCAGCCAAGGGACAAGTTGAAGCTCATTCCCATACTCAACAAGTTGTATGTTCTTGATCTCTGTGGAAGTTTCTCCATGGCCTACCTTCTTAGGAGTGAAGCAGAATTATTTGAAAAACTGAAAGATTATGTAACATTCACCAGCAAAAAATTCCAGAGAAAAGTGCAAGTGCTTCGCATGGACAAAAGTGGTGAATTTACTAGTCATAATATCAAGCAGTTTCTCAAGGAGAATGACATACAGCATCAAACCACTGCTCTGTATATGCCCTCTCAAAATGGCATCACTGAGAGAAAGCATCACTCACTAATGGAAATGTCAATGAGCATGCTGATTGATGCTGCTGTCTTAAGGAAGTTCTGGGGTGAAGCCATGAATATAGCCAACCACCTGCAGAAGAGAAAGCAATAGACACTACACCCTTCAAAAAATGACATGGGAAAAACCCCTGAGTATACTATCTCAGAGTTTTGGGGCTGTAAGGCCTATGCCTTACTTCTGCCCGAAAAATGCACCAAACTGCAAAATGTGCCAAACTGTAGCAGGCTTGTTGACAGGTTACAGCAAATCCTGCAAAAGCAACAAAATTCTGGATCCTAGTACAAAGTTGCTGTCTTCAACACAGTCTACTTTGATGGGACAACATAACCTGATGTATTGAAAGAGCCAAGTGATTATTCCAGTCTAATTCACCCAAGGGGCAAGGTCTGCTAACAGAACCTTCCCTGCGTACCACCACTTTATCAGAGGTGAGGCGGCAGTGGAAGTCTCTAGTATACATAGGTTCTGGACACCTTCACACATGTTTGCCTCAGCACGCTGAGATGGGGAATGGCATTCTAATAGTCTGCTGGGGGGGGGGGCATGTGTTGAGTTAATCTAACCTTCATGTGGCTGTTTTACCACATGCCCAACTCAGCAAGAGCCCACCGGAATAGCTTAGTTTGCTGTCAAACAACAAAATTAGCTTTTTAAGAAGCTGAGCCAACTTTCTGTAGAATATTAATTTCAAATGTGTATTTTTAGCACTCAAATTATCCCATGTAGATGGTTATTAACATGGATGGTTAATTGATCCATCAGTTCATTAAAACCAACTTACATACCGCAATATGCATGAAATCAATTCCATAAATTTGCATATCTCAGGTACGGTACACAGCTAAGCAAGCTGAAATTGGTTGATTTGTTTGCTGTTTTTGAGTATATGCCTAGAAAGGGCCAGAAGATATATCATTCAAAGGATAAATCTGGACTTGTATTTTATGGATTCCCCCAAAAGCATACTAATTGGCAGCGATTCTGATTTTTTTTTAAAGCCTCTGAATAATGATAATTAGAGAATGCAATGCATAGTAAACCACTTGAATTTTTAAAGATTGTACTGGTCCTTCCTCCATTTGCTAAGATAAAAAAAAATGTATTTCAAACAATAACCAGATGGTAATTGCCCTGTCTTATTTTTACAGCTTTTCTTCTTAATGGAAAACAGTATTGCTTTAATGCAATTTTCTTCTTTCTTGTATTTTCCCAGAATAGTGCTACACAATGAGAAGAGATAATTTTCTCATACAGCACAGAGTTTCTTTGTTGGCGGAAAAATGTGATTCCTTGCCAGCTAGCAAGACTTATTTATTCCAATTAGCTTAGATTTTTATTTTGCATTGATACATGTCGGACAAGTTAGATAATTCTTGAACTTCAATGGCTTTTCAGATGTTTTACACAAAGCAGCCTTATCTTCTTGCTGCTCTTCACTATTGATCCGCTATTGTGCCTTCCACTGAAAATTATACAAAACCATAAAATACTCTGCGGATGGACAAAATAACAGGGCTGTGTATTTATCTATATCTGGATGAGAAAGAGAGTTGTGGTCTACATCCCAGCAAGGATCCATTATTAGTAGTCATTCCAGCTAATGGCCAGATATTACAAGAACACCAAACTGAAATCTATTGTTGCATTTGTTGCATTTTGATCTTTCTGTTCATTGGAAGAATAAGATCAATTGACTTACTGTGAGTTTTTCACATTATACTCTTTTTTAAAAGGGGGTATAATGTGGAAAACGTAGCTCCTTAGGATAGGCCATTATTTTGGTACTAGCTAGTTTGTTGGTGAACTCTATTCATGTAACTGACAGTCCACTTATTTGGGGACTATATTGTAACCTTTCAGAAAGATGGGAGATGCCTTGGAGGATAAGCTCCTTTTGTTGATGAAGCTGACATAAGTAGTTCACATGAACTACTGGAATACTTGTTGCTGGAAACCACAGGAGGGGAAAGTGCTCTTGTACTTGAATCGAGCTTGCAAGTTTCCCATAGGCATCTGGCTGGCCACAGTGAGAACAGGATGCTGGACTAGATAGGCAGGCTCTTCTTATGTTCCCATGGAAGGCAAATGGGGAGACGGAAGGCAAGTGAAATATCTGATTGGGAGTAGAGGGTGGGGGTAGTTAAAGCAAAATTTCCAATAGGAAGCTAAAGTAATCCCTTCCTTCAGGATTCTGCTAACTTTTAATGCTTTGGTGCAGCAGCAGATTTCACTCTTTTCAGCTGATTTACCTTCTGTGTAGCAGCTTTAGTTCAGGGAGCTTCTGTTTAATTAAATGATCATGCTAGTATGCTATGTTGGAGTTAATTTGATTTCCAGTGGAAGCCATATTAGTTTGTTGCAGCAATAAAATAAAATAAAATAAAATATAAAGAAATGAATGTCATAATAATGGACTACTGTCCACTTCATCTGATGCAAGTGGTTTTGAGTGACTTGTGTTAAAGTCAATTTAATGTTTATAGGAAAGGGTCCCAGAAGCTTTCCTGATCATGCATTGGAGATTACGCAAACTGGACACTGTACGGTGGTTGTTTTATGCTATCAAACTCCTGTTGCTCTGTTACTTTTGCAAGTCTACCAGCTAAACGTATTCCATCAAAGATCAATCCTGTGGGAAAGATGGAGTTCTGTGAAAGACAACTGTGGGAACAGATGGGTGAGGCATAGAGGCCCATGAAGACTGTACTCATGTATCTCAGAGGGTATTTGTTAGTGGTCCCTTTTGGTGAATAATAATAATAATAATAATAATAATAATAATAATAATAATTTATTATTTGTACCCCGCCCATCTGGCTGGGTTTCCCCAGCCACTCTGGGCGGCTTCCAACAAAGATGAAAAATACACTAAAATGTCACATATTAAAAACTTCCCTGAACAGGGCTGCCTTCAGATGTCTTCTGAATATCAGGTAGTTGTTTATTGCTTTGACATCTGATGGGAGGGCGTTCCACAGGGCGGGCGCCACTACCGAGAAGGCCCTCTGCCTGGTTCCCTGTAACTTGGCCTCTCGCAGTGAGGGAACCGCCAGAAGGCCGTCGGAGCTGGACCTCAGTGTCCGGGCAGAACGATGGGGGAGGAGACGCTCCTTCAGATATACTGGACCGAGGCCGTTTAGGGCTTTAAAGGTCAGCACCAACACTTTGAATTGTGCTCGGAAACGTACTGGGAACCAATGTAGGTCTTTCAAGACCGGTGTTATATGGTCTCGGCGGCCGCTCCCAGTCACCAGTCTAGCTGCCGCGTTCTGGATTAGTTGTAGTTTCCGGGTCACCTTCAAAGGTAGCCCCACGTAGAGCGCATTGCAGTAGTCCAAGCGGGAGATAACCAGAGCATGCACCACTCTGGCGAGACAGTCTGCAGGCAGATAGGGTCTCAGCCTACGTACCAGATGGAGCTGGTAAACAGCTGCCCTGGATACAGATTTGACCTGTGCCTCCATGGACAGCTGTGAGTCCAAAATGACTCCCAGGCTGCGCACCTGGTCCTTCAGGGGCACAGTTACCCCATTCAGGACCAGGGAATCCTCCACACTTGCCCGCCTCCTGTCCCCCCAAAATAGTACTTCTGTCTTGTCAGGATTCAACCTCAATCTGTTAGCCGCCATCCATCCTCCAACCGCCTCCAGGCACTCACACAGGACCTTCACCGCCTTCACTGGTTCTGATTTAAAAGAGAGGTAGAGCTGGGTATCATCCGCATACTGATGAACACCCAGCCCAAACCTCCTGATGATCTCTCCCAGTGGCTGCATGTAAATGTTGAAAAGCATGGGGGAGAGGACAGAACCCTGAGGCACCCCACAAGTGAGAGCCCAGGGGTCTGAACACTCATTCCCCCCACCACTTTCTGAACACGGGCTAGAAGGGAGGAGCGGAACCACTGTATGACAGT